CGGATGTGAAGGATGTAAGGACCCCAATGGAAATAAGTAAGGACCCCAATGGAAATAAGTCACTCTGTCTGACTTTTTTGGGTTATCCTAGGTTCTCTACACATATGCTGCTATGTATGATAATTCTATGTAACTGTATTTGTGTATACCTGAATAAACTTACTTACTTACTTATTGGCACAATTATTACCCTATATTTCTTTCCGTGTTCAGAGCTGAAGGAATTTCGTCTGTAACTAAATGATGAATGTATACTTGTATTTTATCATTCTAGTGTACATTAAGAGCAAGGATGATTAATTGGAGGAAGGGTTAATATAGGCTGTATGTTTTTTTTACGAAAGTTAACTTATCCACATGTATCTAGTATAGGACAGTTTTAAGCTTCGGTATCAGATTTTATAGTTGGTTATAGTTGTCATATTTGTTATATTGTTATGTTATTTGTTATTGTTTCAATTATAACGGGGTTGTTTTTTGGTAGACTGTAGAGCGGGGTGTTAATGATATACGTCTTCGGAGGCTTCTTACTTTATTGATAACTAGTGTTGGGTTACACAGGCTTGTGTGTTTGTGCCCATGGCCCGGGCAGGGCCATGCCCACGAGAGAGAGCTGGGAGGCCTTGTGTGTTGATGCCAGGCCGCTGTGTGAGTGAGAGCGAGGCAAGTCTGGGCATACTGAAGTGGCAAGGCCTATAGGTGGCAGCACCAGCATGGCGCGAAATATGAACTAAGCTGGCAGACAGCATGGGCTGTCTGTGCAGACAGTACAGGCTGTCTACACAATATCTAATGTAATGTTTTTCAGTTATTGTCATATATTGTCATCTTTATGGTTTTTCCTTTTGTCTATTGTCTTTTTGTATGGTTTTAAATAAAATATAAAAAAAAGACCCGTGGCCCGGTGGCCTGGTGGCTAAAGTTCCCGCTTCACACACAGAGGGCCCGGGTTCGATTCCCGGCGGGTGGAAACATTCGACACGTTTCCTTACACCTGTTGTCCTGTTCACCTAGCAGCAAATAGGTACCTGGGTGTTAGTCGACTGGTGTGGGTGGCATCCTGGGGGACAAGATTAAGGACCACAATGGAAATAAGTTAGACAGTCCTCGATGACGCACTGACTTTCTTGGGTTATCCTGGGTGGCTAACCCTCCGGGGTTAAAAATCCCAACGAAATCTTATCTTATCTTATCCTAATCCGAGGTGACGTCAGTCTGAAAATTCTGTTATAGTCCAGTCCATTCTCAATTTTCGCGAGAAAAGCTCCTTGATTCCTGGATTTAACCTTCTGGCCCCACATGAGGTTCCCTAGTGACCCTCCAGCACCTCGAACCGTATCAGACAGAAACGTCTCGGACGAAGTGCGTGTTGCTGTATTGGAGGCGCTGGTGATTGTCCCTAGCTCTGCTAGGAGCGGGTTTAAGCAGTATTGCTTCAAAGAGGACGGCGAAAAAGTCATGGGAGACCGACTCGCCTGATAACTCCTTTAAGTGTAGAATATTCCTAATCTCACTTAGTATATTTTGAAAGTTGTATAAGAGTGAATTATTATTGAAGGGTTACGTTTTGTCTCAATGGGATTGAGTCAAGCAAAGGGTTATGTGAAGTGAATGTCTTGTGATACTAAAGCCATTCAGTACTATAATCAAGACAGAATATTGTGTATTATCTTTTAAGTGAACTAGTGTAAATTTCACGAGTACTGTTTTATGGTCTAACCTTTTTAAAGTTAATATAAAACCCTTCTATGGTTTATTAAGAAACTTAGTAAAAAAAACGGAAAGAAACATTGTGATTGTTTACTACTGACCCCTTGAATGATTTCATTTTGAACAGGATATTCAATCCCTTTCATTTGTTGCAAGAAAGGGCTAAACAGACTTAAGTAGTGGCCCTGTACGCAACACTGCCTCACCTAAACATATAGCTATAAGCTATGCTGATGACATCATGATCTATACAACAGGGCATAGAATGAACCTCATAAGTTCAAGCAATTTGTAATCAACTAGGCCTCATAATATCTTCCTCTAAAACAGATATTAACAAGCAAACGACACCCCCACCCATCTACTTGCAGGGTGAAATCATTAGCTACGTTAAAACTTACAGATATCTTGGTGTAGATGTACCCTTTAACAAATCCACTATACCACAACTAAATAAGAAATGCAAAGATAGGCTAAATGCTCTCAAAGCTGTTGCTGGCTACAATCCCAACTATGGTGCAAATGTGAGAATCTTGAGAATGATGTACATAGCCTATGTTAGGTCCTTATTTGATTATGCTGCTCCCATGTTGATATTAGCTAGGGAAAGTTCTCTCCGACCCTTGGAGTTAATACATAATGAAGTTCTCATGGTTATTCTTGGTTGTTCCAGATCTACAAAGGTTCTTAATGAGGAAGGAGCTTGGTATTTCTAGTATGTGATAGGATTGTTGAGATTAACACTGTACTCGGTATTAGAATGTTGAGAAATGATCCAGACTGTCACAATGAATTTTACCAAGTGTCTAGAGGTAAATACACAATCTAAATGGATTGTGAAAACGTGCAATTGCATTGTTTTATAACCTGCATGAACTGTCACTCTAGGCAACAAGAGCATTTCACCCCTCCGTGGAAGATGTGTTCATTTAATATCATACCCGCAAGTCCCTCCGAAGAATCATAGCAAGTTACAAAGGTAATGAATCAGCCTCACTCCTATATACATGGTTACAATCATGAACAAATTACAAAGTAATGAGCCAGATCTACCTGGAGTTCATTACCTTTCTAACCAGTTCAGCTATCATAACTTTGGGGTCCAGTCCCTGGACCCATTATGTACCTTTGTAATCTTTTGACTACCGCCCACAGGATGGGTATGGGGTGCATAATAAAGATATTTAACTGACCTCCGGAGAAGCTCATTGCTAGTAATCCCTTCCTTAAATCTCTTGTTAAAGCAACTGCTCAAGAAGAAATTTCTCACCTAGCTGGTAGTAATAAGTTATCACATGTTATATACATTGATGGATCTAAACAGGAGTCTTCTGGCAGGGCTGCATCTGCTCTTGTTGCCACCTCCCTAGTTAAGAACGATAATAAATTTGTTGAACTAGGCATAAGAATTAACAACTGGGCGTCTACACTGCAAACTGAATTGTTTGCAATCCTAATGGCGCTAAAGCTAACTTATGACACTGAGCTTGACTCTATCGTCATTACTGATTCTGTCATCATTGAAAGCTCTTGACTCATATAATGACTCCAACAACATGCTCATTGGAGAAGCCAGGTATAGATACTCAAAAATTAGGGACAAAGGAATTAATTTAAAATTGCTATGGATCCCATCACACATTGAATTACTCCTTCATGATAAAGTTGATATGTTAGCCAAGAAGAGTACCCAGAAGGAGAATGTAGAATATAACTTTGGTATAACTGTGTCTAGCATTAGGAATAATATTAGGAGAGAAGTAAATAATAAATGATTGTTATAGGAATGCAGTTAGAAGCCTGAGTAGATCTATAACCCACTATGATAACATGAACGTAGATAAGTATGTTTATGGAGCAACTTGCAATGTGAACAGACTGACTGATGTTTTAGTGGCCAGGGTTAGGCTTGGCTAAAAGTACACTTCTGACAGTTTGGGAGACACACAGATGATGATCAAACTAAATGTAAATTACGTGATCAGGCATATGGTCACTGTCTTGAACACTATGTGCTTAATTGCCCACTTATTGAAGAATACAGAGACAGACAGTATAATAACCTATGACATGTCAAGATATCTTATTAATGAAAATAAGATACCAGATAATACTAAGCAAATTTCCTGAATTTGCTTGTAACAGATAAGTGAACTATAGATATGTAGATATAAATCCATATGTATTCCTGTTAACCCTTTGGGGCCTAGTTCCTAGGCCTTTTGTGTATCCATATGCTCTTGCGCTACCCTCCACAGGATGGATATGGGGTGCACAATAAACTAGCCACTTCGGTGGCAAAATCTAAATCTCATACCAGAATCTCCAGAGTCCAGAGATTTACTCTGTACAGCGAAGAAAAGTTGAGATGAAGTGAGCAAGTCAGAGCAGCTACGACCATAGACCCCTGATGGGTCATCTTAAGACCTGTGCTAGGCAGTGTACTGGCGAACATCAGTCGTTCTGGCACTAGAGTTGAGGCTCGAGTGCCAGGAATGGCTCTACTGGTGTTGAGTCGCCGTCCTAGGGCTGTAAACGGTACTCCACTTGTACCAACTCCTAAAGTCCTTCAGAACCACTGCCCAGTCACCACTTGAACACCAAGACCAGGACTTGTCCTGGCAAACCTACATTAACCTGTTTACCCAGATGCATCTGTGGCTCGGTAGTCTACTGTGTGAGCGAAACTTGGTCAATAAAAGATCACATTACATTGCATTTGTTTAATTTTCCAGCCAGTCGGGTCCAACTCACACCCTCCCTCATCGACTCTTGTATTTATCTAACCTATTTTTAAAGCTACACAAGGTTTTAGCTTCAATCCGGCTACGCGGGAGTCTGTTCCACTCATCCACAGTTATTACCAAACCAGTGCTTTGTCCTTTCTAAATCAAATTCTTTCCAACTTGAGACCATTGTTTAGTCCTGTCTTGGCTAGATACTTTCAGTACGTTATTTACATTCCCCTTTTCCCTGTTTTCCATTTATACGCCTCAATTATAACCCACCCACCTTAATTGTGCGCCCTTCTAGATAACAGATTCAGGGCCCCAGTCTACCTTTTTAGGATAAACGGGGCCCTCAGTGTATTCTCGTAAGATGTGATACATGGGATCAACTTAGTCGTTCTCCTTTCTACATTTCCCATAGCACTTGTATCCATTCTGTAATAGTGACCAGAACTGTGCAACATAATTTAGGACATTTCCTAAATCCTCCCCCCCCCCACAAAAAATACACTGAATCTCCAAAATAAACGAGAAAAATAAGGTTACAGGTATCATACTTACACAAAATGATGAGGCGCATCATGATGACTGACGAGTGGATCTGGAAAGAGACTGAATTTAAGATTCAGGAAAGAACATAGACCATACGTTGATTGGGATTAGAACCCGCGGTCAGTCATGTTGACGGCTTTGAGGGGACTTCAGCTAGACTTCGTCACGGCCACGCTAGCCGGAGATTCCTGTTAAAACTTACATTTGTGGTCAGTGGTGCCCTATGCTAACATGACGGTTTGGAGTTGACTGATCGCGGGTTCTAACCCCACCCGTGGTATGGTTTGTTTGCAATAGTGTTATGTTCTATCAACATGATTCACGAAATAGTAACAAGTTCGTAAGAAAGGAGCACTGCAGCAGGCCTACTGTCCCATGCCAGGCAGGTCCAAGCTATCACTGTACTTGCCCCGTGGTGTGTATAACGTGAGGGGGAGAGATTAGTGGCGGCAGCAGCAGTATTTGTGCTCCACTTTCTATATTCAACAGCTGTTGTGGTTTTAGTAATATACTTCTTGCACCTCTTGCACTCCCTAACTCGCACCTCCTTTACTCACGCCTCCCTCGCTCACACCTCCCTCGCTCACACCTCCCTCGCTCACACCTTCACCCACACCATCCTCGCTCACACCACCTTCACCCACACCTCCCTCGCTCACACCATCTTCGCTCACACCTCCCTCGCTCACACCACCTTCACCCACACCTCTCTCGCTCACACCACCTTCACCCACACCTCTCTCGCTCACACCACCTTCACCCACACCTCCCTCGCTCACACCACCTTCACCCACACCTCCCTCGCAGTAACAACCTGGTTGATCAGGTCCTGATCCACCGCCAGGCCTGGTCATGAACCGGACCACGGGGGCGCTGATCCCCGAAACACCCTCCAGGTATTACCTGGAATTTACCTGGAAAGTGTTCCGGAGGTCAGCGACAGATACCTCTCAATGTATATACACTGACAGGTATATACCTGTGTATATACACTAAGATGTACACATACACACACCCCTCGATATATACAACAAAATCTAACATGGTTCAGTGTGTATAAGATCCAAGAGACAGAAAAGTCACCACCTACCTCGGCTCCACCAAGTGAACTGTCTCCACCTTGCTCCTGCCTCTCTTATATACTCCAATCTCTATCTAGCACCACTCCGCCCTCTCGTATACTCTCTATCACCCAACGTCCGTAGTCGTGAAGTTTCCCACTATGATGTCTACTTTGTCTACCATTTAGACTATACCTTTGCGTGTTGGAATAGACACGATGAGGTTCAATCTCTCTCGTTTACAATGACGTGTTTTAATGCTAGAAATGTGTGGGGAAATTTTGGTGATAGGGAAAAAAACGGTGTTTGTCACGGAGGAGACAAACACGAATGTTAGGGAAAGTTGGTGTGTATGTTTGTGTGTGTGTGGGTATTTTATATTAAAACAGTGTTGCTACACTATTCTACATGATAGTTACATTGTGGGAACACCAGCAGTGTTGCTACACTATTCTATATAAAGTTACTTTGGGTGGGAACACCAGCAGTGTTGCTACACTATTCTACATGATAGTTACATTGTGGGAACACCAGCAGTGTTGCTACACTATTCTATATGATAGTTACATTGTGGGAACACCAGCAGTGTTGCTACACTATTCTATATGATAGTTACATTGTGGGAAACACAAGCAGTGTTGCCTACACTATTCTATATGATAGTTACATTGTGGAAACAACAGCAGTGTTGCTACACTATTCTATATGATAGTTACATTGTGGGAACACCAGCAGTGTTGCACACTATTCTATATGATAGTTACATTGTGGGAACACCAGCAGTGTTGCTACACTATTCTATATGATAGTTATATTGTGGGAACACCAGCAGTGTGTTGCTACACTATTCTACATGATAGTTACATTGTGGGAACACCAGCAGTGTTGCTACACTATTCTATTGATAGTACATTGTGGGCACACCAGCAGTGTTGCTACCTATTCTACATGATAGTTACATTGTGGGAACACCAGCAGTGTTGCACCTATTCTATATGATATTACATTGTGGGAAAAACGAGTGTTGCTACACTATTCTATTATGATAGTTACATTGGGGAAACACCAGCAGTGTTGCTACACTATTCTACATGATAGTTACATTGTGGGAACACCAGCATGTGCTACAATATTCTATATGATAGTTATATTGTGGGAACACCAGCAGTGTGTTCTACACTATTTTTATATGATAGTTACATTGTGGGAACACCAACAGTGTTGCTACTACTCTTATAAGATATTTACATAGTGGGAAACCCAAGAGTGTTGCTACACTATTCTATATGATAGTTTACATTTGGAACACCAGCAGTGTTGCTTACACTATTTACATGATAGTTACATTGTGGGAACCAGCAGTGTTGCTACACTATTCTTATGATGTTATATGTGGAACACAAAGCATGTGTTGTACACTAATTCTATATGATAGTTACATTGGGGAACACCAACAGTGTTGCTACACTATTCTATTATGTATTTTACATTGTGGAACACCAGCAGTTTGCTACACTATTCTATATGATAGTTACATTGTGGGAACACCACCAGTGTTGCTACACTATTCTATATGATAGTTACATTGTGGGAACACCAGCAGTGTTGCTACACTATTCTATATGATAGTTACATTGTGGGAACACCAGCAGTGTTGCTACACTATTCTACATGATAGTTACATTGTGGGAACACCAGCAGTGTTGCTACACTATTCTATATGATAGTTACATTGTGGGAACACCAGCAGTGTTGCTACACTATTCTATATGATAGTTATATTGTGGGAACACCAGCAGTGTGTTGCTACACTATTCTATATAATAGTTACATTGTGGGAACACCAGCAGTGTTGCTACACTATTCTATATAATAGTTACATTGTAGGAACACCAGCAGTGTTGCTACACTATTCTATATGATAGTTAATTGTAGGAACACCAGCAGTTTTTGCTACACTATTCTATATGATAGTTACATTGTGGGAACACCAGCAGTGTTGCTACACTATTCTATATGATAGTTACATTGTGGGAACACCATCAGTGTTGCTACACTATTCTATATGATAGTTACATTGTGGGAACCCCAGCAGTGTTGCTACACTATTCTATTATGATAGTTACATTGTGGGAACACCAGCAGTGTTGCTACACTATTCTACATGATAGTTACATTGTGGGAACACCAGCAGTGTTGCTACACTATTCTATATGATAGTTACATTGTGGGAAAAACCAGCAGTGTTGCTACACTATTCTATATGATAGTTATATTGTGGGAACACCAGCAGTGTGTTGCTACACTTTTTCTATATAATAGTTACATTGTGGGAACACCAGCAGTGTTGCTACACTATTCTACATAATAGTTACATTGTGGGAACCCCAGCAGTGTTGCTACACTATTCTATATGATAGGTTCATTGTAGGAACACCAGCAGTGTTGCTACACTATTCTATATGATATTTTACATTGTGGGAACACCAACAGTGTTGCTACACTATTCTATATGATAGTTACATTGTGGGAACACCAGCAGTGTTGCTACACTATTCTATATGATAGTTACATTGTGGGAACACCAGCAGTGTGTTGCTACACTATTCTATATGATAGTTACATTGTGGGAACACCAGCAGTGTGTTGCTACACTATTCTATATGATAGTTACGTTGTGGGAACACCAGCAGTGTGTTGCTACACTATTTCTATATGTAGTTACATTGTGGGAACACCAGCAGTGTTGCTACACTATTCTATATAATAGTTACATTGGGGGAACACCAGCAGTGTTACTACACTATTCTATATATAGTTACATTGTGGGAACACCAGCAGTGTTGCTACACTATTCTATATAATAGTTACATTGTGGGAACACCAGCAGTGTTATACACTATTCTATATAATAGTTACATTGTGGGAACCCCAGCAGTGTTGCTACACTTTTTCTATATAATAGTTACATTGTGGGAACACCAGCAGTGTTACTACACTATTCTATATAATAGTTACATTGTGGGAACACCAGTAGTGTTGCTACACTATTCTATATGATAGTTACATTGTGGGAACACCAACAGTGTTGCTACACTATTCTATATGATAGTTACATTGTGGGAACACCAGCAGTGTTGCTACACTATTCTATATGATAGTTACATTGTGGGAACACAGCAGTGTTGCTACACTATTTCTATATGATAGTTACATTGTGGGAACACCAGCAGTGTTGCTACACTATTTCATATGATAGTTACATTGTGGGAACACCAGCAGTGTTGCTACACTATTCTGTATGATAGTTACATTGTGGGAACACCAGCAGTGTTGCTACACTATTCTATATGATAGTTATATTGTGGGAACACCAACAGTGTTGCTACACTATTCTATATGATAGTTACATTGTGGGAACACCAGCAGTGTTACTACACTATTCTATATGATAGTTATATTGTGGGAACACCAAGCAGTGTTGCTACACTATTCTATATGATAGTTACATTGTGGGAACACCAGCAGTGTTGCTACACTATTCTATATGATAGTTACATTGTGGGAACACCAGCAGTGTTGCTACACTATTCTATATGATAGTTACATTGTGGGAAACACCAGCAGTGTTGCTACACTATTCTTTTATGATAGTTACGTTTTTGGGAACACCAGCAGTGTTGCTACAATTCTATATGATAGTTACATTGTGGAACACCAGCAGTGTTGCTGCACTATTCTATATGATAGTTACATTGTGGGAACACCAACAGTGTTGCTACACTATTCTACAAGATAGTTACATTGTGGGAACACCAGCAGTGTTGCTACACTATTCTGTGTAGCAACACTGTAGTCAGTGGGTCATCAAGGACTGTGGGTCATCAAGGACTGTGGGTCATCAAGGACTGTCTTGTTTCTATTGTGGTCCTTCAGTCCTGTCCCCCAGGATGCCACCCACACCAGTCAACTAACATCCAGGTACCTA